TCAGATCCTTCCAGAGGAGGAAAGCCACCTCCGCACGAAATGACGCAGGAACGGTTAAACCCTTGCACTCCAACAACAGGGTCGTATTGGCGGCACACCCACGACAAAGTAACTCAAGAGAAAGTGTCCTGTGCCTAGAAGTAGGTATTTCGTGTCTTGAGGATAGGAGTACACAAGCATATTTCTTACAGCCGCCTAGACACACGAATGCAGGTACAACAGGGCCGCCAGTCTTACGCCATGCCACCGTCTTTTTGCCGGGAATTTCGCAGACAGCGGTGGACGTTCGGATGGCGCATCCGTTCGGCGGGTTAGCCATGTTCCTGCGCGACCGAGCTTAGCCAAAGGGTGTAAGCATGGATTATCCCGGATGTTTGGCCGAGAATGGTCGAGATGTCGCGGGGTTTGTAACACTGGATCCTGCGCCATATATCGATTTCTGTGTCGCATCTGCGCTTGCCGCCATCCAATGGCCACCCAGCCGGACTGGAGATGAAAACTTTGACGATTGAGGATCTGCGCAAAGCGACGATACACATAGTGGTTGGTTTTGCCTCGTCGCATGGCTTCACAGCCTCAGGGCTGCCCCGGATCTTCTCGCTTCGCACTAGTCCCGGAAGCGATTAGATGGGAACGGCCGCACCGTCACTGGCCTCACGAGACCCAATCAGCAAAAGCTTCTAGTCTCTACGGCATGGTTCTTGGCGCCTTGATCAATTCGATCCCTGTTCAATGTTGGAGCTCGCCGTCGCCCAACACCAATGCTCACCAATGATGTCCAATCGACGATCGGATGGCTTCTTACTCGGTTCAATAGCACTACACGCTCCTCGCAATCTCTACATGACACTCAAGAAGATGTAGAGAAAGTTACGCGGTACCATCTCCTTTCTTTCAATCTTCATGATTCACGACCATTCGCTGGCAAGGCGCGCCGCGCCTAGTTGTGTGGCAATAGACTCTGCCCTCACAAGTCCGGCCTCGACGAGCCGCAGCTAGCGATGCGTAGTCTGGGGTAGTGTCATCACGCGCTACCACATCGAGCAATACCTCCAGGGGCTGCTTGAAGATCTCGAACGGGGGCGAACAACACGCCCAGTGTGGAGCCACTTGGGTGCTAGCTTGTTTCTCACCTGGACACGGGTGGCCTACGGTTCCGCTTGATATAAAGAGCTTATGGGAGCCTCCTGTTGGTTTTTTTGCAAGCTTCAACTGTCGTTATACATACATCAAAGAACTTTCACTACACCGATCACCGTATCAACACCAAGACAACCGTCAAAATGAAGACCTTCACCATCGCTGCCTTCGCCGCTCTGGCCTCCGTTGGCTCTGCCCAGCTCAGCAACATCCCATCTTGCGCCGTATGTCATTCCATGATCGCCTTCACACTCATCTTAAACTAACACTATCCAGCTTCAATGCTTCCTCGCTCCCCTCCAGAGCGACGGCTGCTCCTCCCTCACCGACTTCGAGTGCCACTGCAAGAAGGGTGCTGAGCTCCTCGGCAAGGTCCAGCCTTGCGTCCAGGGTGCCTGCGAGCAGGACGACCAGGCCAAGGCCATCTCCGCCGTCCAGGACACCTGCAAGGCTGCTGGTGTCCCCATCAACATCCCCGGTGCCAGCGCTGCTCCCTCCATGGCCAGCTCTGCTGTCGCCAGCGCCACATCCGCTGCTGCCTCCATGGCATCTTCTGCCGCTGCCTCCGCCTCCTCCATGGCTTCCTCGGTCATGTCTGAGGCCTCCTCCGCTGTCGAGTCTGCCGCTTCCTCCATGGCCTCCGAGATGTCCTCCGCTATGATGACCGGTACCCCCACTGCCAGCGAGAGCATGATGAGCATGACCCCCTCTGCTTCCATGTCTGAGTTCACCGGTGCTGCTGCCCAGGCTACCCAGGCTGTCGGTATCCTCGGTGCCGCCGCCCTTGCCATGCTCGCTTTGTAGATACCCTCAGGCCCTTGGTGGCAAGCATGAACGGATTGACTGGTTAGTCATGGTCAGGATGTAATGGAATCACGTTGGGATGGATGGATTGAATCTTGTATTACCACCTAAAACCGATAATGCGATACCTAATATTTCGAACTTGATCCTTTTCTCTCATTTCATTATGTTGTGTTTCTCTCTACATCTGATGACTTTCCTACCCCGTTACCTCGCTGCTCACTTGCAGTGTTTGTAACGCGTCAGAATCTCCCGGTGGCTGTTTGTATTCGGTCGTACCGAAGCTGAAAAGTTGCCCAGTGACGTCAGAGTAAGCACCATCGTGTTGCCGAAATGAGAACACAAGGGTTACCATGCCTTCGTTCGGATTGAAGCTACCCGCACTTTTAGTGTCTACAGACGCTACGCATGTGTAATGCACCCTTTTTATGCAATTTATCACGATGCCCTTTTACCGATTCACCGCCGGGGAAGCGACGGAGGCGCTCTCGTACTGCTATTCTCTTGCTTAATTACCGTAGACGGCCCTTACTCTTAGCTCAGCTCTTGCAGGTGTTATTGTGTCGTCAGCCCGATTCAGTTGAACACGCTTGGTGTTTGTTGATAAACATCACAGTCGATCTCATATACGTCAAGAGAGCTTGGGGGCTCGACGGACGCTGCGGAGGATCCAGTACCTAGATATCTGCCCAGTTGTTGGGAAACATAGTTGTTGCTGGACAAGGTTGCTCTGGAGCTCTTCCCATTGCAACTCTGTGACAGGTAGCTAGCCACTTACTTGTATCGTGCGAGGCATACTGCTGGAAGAGAACAAGCCTCTCAACATTTAAGCGACGGTTCGACAACACGCAGCTGCGTCGTCTCGCACACCACCAACTACTCAGCTTGAGTGACAAGGCCATCAGTTGCGCAAAGCAGGACCACAAAACTTTGGTCCATGACCTGCGCTTACTCGATTGAAATATACGATCCTAAAAAAGGAAAACTACCCCAGCGGAAGTCTAGATCGCGTGCATGCTGCAGGCGCGACGTTAGTAAGCGTTGTAAAGGGTAACTACTCGCTGCAGCAGACAAGGCAACCGCACATGTTTAATTCGTGACGTCAATTCCTGCGTACGTAGATAGCTAAAAGGGCGCTGTCGTGCTTTGAGATGCAAGTGAGGGGTCACATCACGTAGAGAGCGGACGAGCGTAGTTGCGACATCGCCAACCTAAACATTCGCAACCCTTCCTAGACATTCATCATGGCCTCAGAACCCGAACCATGCACAATCTCAGTCCCCGATTCCGCAATAGAAAAGCTCAAACGAAAGCTCTCAGATGCCGACTTCCCAGATGAACTGGACACACCCGACCAATGGCCCTACGGCTCACCCCTCTCCGACATCAAGCGTCTAGCAAAACACTGGGAAACCAACTTCTCATGGCGAGACGCCGAATCCAAGATGAACGAGCTACCCAACTATCGCAAGAAACTTCAAGTCGACGGGTTCGGCCAAATCGACATCCACTTCGTCCACAAGAGGAGTTCCAATCCCAATGCCATACCCCTGCTCTTCAGCCACGGCTGGCCAGGCTCCTTCCTCGAAGTAACAAAATTACTTCCGCTTCTTGAAGCTGGCGAGAAAGAAGGGAAACCCGCGTTCCATGTTGTTGCGCCGTCTCTACCGAACTTTGGGTTTAGTCAGAGGATTAGCAAGCCTGGCTTTGCGTTGTCGCAATATGCGGAGACGTGCCATCGGTTGATGCAAGACCTTGGATACGATAAATACGTTACGCAGGGTGGTGATTGGGGGTTTTGGATAACGAGGTCGATGGGGTTGCTGTATCCTGACTATGTTCTCGCGAGTCACATCAATATGGTGCGCGCGCAAGCACCGACGTTTACATCGCAGCCTGCGCTTGCTCTGCAGCACGCCATTACTCCTTACACTGAAGCTGAGGCCAAAGGAATCGAGCGCTCAGAATGGTTTCTCAACGAAGGTCAGGCGTATCGCCAGCTACAATCTACCAAGCCACAGACGCTCTCCTACGCATTCGCTGATAGTCCCGTGGCACTACTGGCATGGATCTATGAAAAGCTGATCGACTGGACCGACGGCTATCCCTGGACTGACGACGAAGTACTCACTTGGGTTAGTGTATACTGGTTCAGCACTGCAGGACCCAATGCGCATGTCAGGATCTACTACGAAGCGCAACACAATCCTACAGATCTGATTCCGAATCGAGAGCGGACGACGACGTGGATTGATCGGGTGAAGTTGGGTGTTGCGCACTTTCCTAAGGAGATCACTGTTGTGCCGAGGGTGTGGGCGAAGACTTTGGGTGAGTTATCCTTGCGACGATGAGGTTGGGGCCTATACTGACTGAACTACCACTAGGTCCTCTTGTCCATGAGAGTGTTCACGATAAGGGCGGGCATTTCGCTGCACATGAGAGACCGGATGTAATCGTTACGGATTTGCAGAAGATGTTTGGGAAGGGCGGGCCGTGTTACGGAATAGCTCCAGGAAAGTCGGGTTATTGATATGGGTTTGTACATAGAAACAATTTCGATGGAATGATATGATGACGGGAACTATTTTATGTGATGTCATTGTTTGACAGGTGCCGGCTTGATTAGCTCAGCTGTCGAGTCTCGAGCGCCTTCGCACGAGAAGTCAAACTCGACCATATGTGCATCTGTTGGCTTTTCGGCCGTGCATTGCGTGATCTTTTTGGCTTCGTCGTGACTTCTCAATGGGGAGAGAACTCGTCCCGGTGTTGGATCGATCTCATCTTCAGACACCAATGTCGACCGCGACAAGTCCTTCTCTGCCGCCGACGCCGAAGAATTGAATGTAAGCCAGTGGATTATAAGAGCATCCCAGCAAACGTCCACCAAACAGATCGCAAGGCATATCATGCCCAGCTCTTCGCCCCTGGTAAGGAAGAATTGTACCATATTCGCCGCCGTTGGTATCTCTATCAAGAGCGACCCAATGATGCTCTTCCACAGCAGTGTCTTGATGTTCTTCCTAGCTGGCGTATCCTGTCCTCCATGCACTGTGTCCTCATTCTGACTCGACTTCCTTTTGAAGATCCTGGAAAGAGTAGATGCGCCGGGCAACCCTACGACCGGATAGAGTAGGTAAAAGAAGACCACAGTCAGAATAATATTCGTAAAGCAGTTGACCACGGTAAACGGTATCGATGCGATGCCGCGGATGCCAAAGTGGCAGCGTCCGTCCGATTCGTGCAACTCGGTGACGTGATTGAGATAGGAGTTGATGGCGACAGTACCGTACAACACGACGATCATGGCCATGCAACATAGATATATTTTGTCTTTTCGCCTATTGACGAAAGGCGCGCGGACGACATGGATGCGTTCGACCAAGAAGATATAGCTGCCATGTATTAGTGAATGACCGGGTTTCGTCGATGCACACTTACATGATAGCTTTGATCAACGTGTAGAAGATCAGGCAAACCCATGTTCCCGCAACGCAGAGCTCGTAGGTATAGAGCCCCTGGCCTGCCACAAGAACGGCTGAGCAGATGATGAACATCAAGACCAGTACGTATAGCATGAAGACAAGCGCAGACATGAGGCGATGCTTTCTCAAAATGCGGCGTTTGAGTTTCTCGAACCGCGAACCTATGGTCTGTGTCAGAAACTGAACGCACGACTGGTCCAAACTTGATGGCGTGATGCATGTTACAAAGGCCATCGTCTGCCTTGAGATCGATCGGGTACGGAAGAAGAACTTACCCAGTAATAGTGAGCACACCATCATGCACAACAGCGATATGATCGTGAAGATCGACCTATCCCGTGGAAGTTCGCCATTGTCGATGAAAACGTTCGAGTTCCGAAATTCCTCTTGCCGCACCTGTAGGGGGAGGGCTTGAGCAGCGAACGTCTGCATCAAGAAAAGACAGGCGAACAGCCTCATTCTTGACAGAAGTTCGGAACCGATATCGAAACGAGTCGTACGCGTTCGCAGAAAGAAAGACGTGATCAATAATCATTCAATTGGGGATCCTTGAGTCCTTAACTGGACCCTTTTCGCGACCTGACATCTGTCTTGGTCCCACAAAATGACGCTCCATTATTTTCTTCTTGCGTAAATCATATGGTCAAGCCTATGATCGACCGGGAGTTGCTAGGGACTGTGGCGCTGAGGGCGATCGTTTTGCTTGACTTCCAATGTTGCGTGAGGCTGATTGGGTTTACGCTAGTCATGCGGAGATGGGGCCGGCTGGCCGATGCGGCCTCGAACGCGAGATTCCCGGTGAGAAATCCACGTGCGTGCCGCTGCTCCCGTTCCTAGCAGCTGTTGGATGCGTTTTTTCTCAAATATCTCCGTCAGGGACAGGGTCGGTATTAGAGGCCGATGTGCATTTTGCTTTTTCTACCTGACAGGTGTCATGGCTCGCTCATTCTTACCAGATGTCGCGATGTCTCAACCATGCATCCTTCACCCATTCGTACCCCACGTTGTCGAGCGGAAAATCCTGTTGGCTTCCCCTGGCGAGGATCCTAGTCCAATGTCTAACTGGATCTCGTCCCTTTGGAGCCAATATTGCCGTATCGGGATTGCGACAATCCGCCGAACGCCATTGCGCCATTCTCTTGCTCTACTGAAAGATCCTGATCTTGACCTCCGAGGGTGCGTTTTGCCGATATTGCAACGGCCTGTTCTTCGCTCACGAGCAACATCTCGTTCCATTCCAGGAACAACCATAGCCAGGATAGAGCAAATTCGATGTTCTCTGAGACAGGTGAAGATGTGCTCAGCAGGACCTTGCACGTCTCCTGTCTCCTTCAAAGAGACAGCTGGTTGAGCTGAATAGTACACAGCCCTCAGATCTGGCAGGGGTCGCAGGGATGCTGAATCATAGTAGTCTGAACGAGTGGCTCCGAGGAACGAGCTGGGCAGATTGACTTCGGAAACTCACGAACAACTGTGGGGACTCTCGTAAACTTTGCCTACACTCTTCGCACGTTCGTACCCCACGCCGTGGGGTGCAAGGAGCATTGCGAACCCTCGGCCAGAGGTGGCTATACGAGCATGTGATTGATACAAGGTCGTTTTGGTTGATAATCGCTGGTATATGCGCGCTGCGAGAGCATCCTGAAACCCCTGCTGGTATCCACGGGGAATTTCTCGTCACAGCCCATGTTGCTGATCACACTTCTATCCAGACGTAGAATTTGATCCCCTAACGGCCAGAGAATGTTGAAAAGATGCGCGCGATCTTCTGGTTCGGCGTGGAAAAGGAGCTGCGGCAGGTCAGTAAGCTCTTGAAGTGGGCGTGTGGTAACTGACTTGTTCGCCCAGTGCGCGTTCAATCAGCTCCTCCCACGAAAGCTCAATGAAGACATCGTGAAACCGGCCTTCTCCGACTGCAACTAGTGGTAATATAGTGACTTTCGCTTCGTCACATATCAAAGTAGGAACACAGCCGCGTTGCAACCTTGGGAGTGAAGGTTGCCAAATGTGGTGTGCGTGTGCGATGCGCGTCCCGGCGGATGTCGCGCATACGCGCACGGCGCGTCGTACTAGGGCGAATCTGGACTTGCCGGATCGCTGATCTCCGAAAGCATCTATGTAGCCATCCACTCACAACTCTACAACTGCACCTCAACCAATAATGAGTGGCGATACAAGATTGAAAAAGAAGCGGAGAGGCGGCCCGCGCAGTAGAACAGGTATGTGCCGTGATCTATGAAACTCTGCTGCGATGCTGAGATAAGCTAATGCCATCAAGGTTGGTACGTCTGGCTGCTATTTTCATCGCGAAAACCTGTACTTCTGGCTGACTGAGTCGCTCCAGCGCCACCTGCAAACGCCGTCACACTCGCTGCGATGAAAAAAGGCCAGTATGCGGGAATTGTGAACGCCTCAACCTCGACTGCGAGCTATCCGAGGAGATCGTATGGGCTACTCCTCGTGTCGATACAACACCGGACGAACCAAACAATGATGCGCCGCTTCTCGTTGACGTGTTTAGGACACGAATGAATGATCTTGACCTTCCTGAAAACTCTTTGTCAAATCAGAACTACATACCTGCTAATGGTGTCACGACAGCAGGTTCCGACGAAGCGAACGGTCCGAAGAAGGTACGCTTGACACCAGAAAGCGCCTTTTTACTCCAGACCTATGTACGCACCGTCGCAACATGGATGGATATCTTTGATCATGCCAGCACCTTTCAGCACAAAATCCCACAGCTGGTCCTCAGATCGCCGCTTCTGTTTCACTGTGTATGCGCCTTTACCGCCAACTATCTTGCCCTTTCCAATTCGAGCCATGATCCTTCTTGGCAAGTCACAGCTTCCAAGCATTATGGCGAATCGTTGCGCCTACTCATAGAAGCTTTGAGCATGCCTTCGCACGAACATGCGCTTACCGCAAGTATGCTGCTCTTGAGCTACGAAATCCACGGAGCTTTGCGCTCTGAAGACTATCGGCGACACTTCCTAGGCCTTACAGTACTAATCAAATCACGACATGTTACTGCACAGTCAAGCGGCACTGATCTGGCCAATTTCTGGATCTATATCCGACACGAGATCGTTGTAGCTATGGCTAGCGAGCAGCCTCTGATACTAGACCCTGCAGAATGGGAGGTGTCTTGGGTAGAGGGTGAGACTAGAGAAGATGTTTTGGGAAACCACGTTCTTTGGATATTAGCGCGAGTTCTCAATCTCATTTTTGGACCAGATGGACGAACTGAAGCAGGTAAAGAGCAGCGCCAAAGCTTCCTGCACGAGATCGAAATGTGGCGAAGGGGGCTTTCTGACACGTTTGTTGGTATTTCATATGGGGAGAAAGACGAAGATGGCTTTGGCAAAGTATACTTCCCAGTGGCGGCCGCAGCCGCCACAGCGTTTTGTACGTTTATAGGCGCACGTAGCGCTCAACATAATCTAACGGGTTCAGGGTATCACATAACACATATTCTGCTTTATGCAGAGCCAGAGCTTCAAGACGAGGCATACATTCCCCTGATTCAGGAGCAGGCTATGGAGATTACCGACATAGCAATTTCAGATTTCCCCCCATCGCTGATGGTATTCTCTACGCATGGTCTTTTCTATGGTACGTATCCATCCTTCCGGCTGTACATTGTCAAATGATTTTACGATCATAGCGAAACGCTCGCTGATACGTTCCAGCCGCGAAACATATCCATGGGATCTCAAGAAAGGCGCGTATCTGGAACGTCTTGAACGAGGTTGAGCGGCAAACTGGATACAACACCAGTACGACCGTGAGGCTTCTCCAGACCTTGGTGGAGGAAGGCGCGCAAAGCCATAGCGCAAGTATCTTGTGAGCGATTCCTCATGCTTCGAAACGAAAGCCATCGTAGTTCACCAGTCTCTGCCTACCAAGTACCTGGAGAATGGCCGGCATCGGACCGAGCCGCCTCGTTGGTCAGCTGCGGGCTGAAGCGAAGCCAACGACTGATCAAGCATTGACTGCGAGGCTTCTGGGGTGATGATGGGGTCGGAAGTTTTCATCCTATCGCATTGTCTGGGTGTAGCGACTTCGGTCACACCCCAGAGTAGTGGCGCGTAGAGCACACCTCTTACTGGTAACCATTGCCGTCACCCACCCCACGTACATCCTCAGGCCCAACACGGATGCTGGAAACAATTCAAAGACATCTCCAAAGACATCTTCAAGGATATGGTCAATCACGATTTCAAATTTCCTTATCTATCAGGTTTCGTTCCAAGACAGAGCTGTGACAAGATTTGGCATGCGCAGCCGGGTTCTGGCGCACGTCGCGAGGCTGCGCCGCCTGCACAGCCCGCGAACAGTCGGGTAGGCAGCAGCAACACAACCAGTCGAAAGATGTCCCTTGTTCTAACAAGCGACTGGGCAGCGCAAATCAGCACCCTATTCGCGACACTTGTGAGCGTACCGCATGAACTTGTTCAGCTTTTGAATATCGACAACGCCACAACTTCGTTTATGCGCGGGTAGTCTCAGCCATGCACCACAGGTTGTTTCGCGCAGCCTCCACGAGAGCGTTGATGGGACGTTGGTTATATTCGCCACTCCAACCGATTTCAAAATGCCATATTCATCATTCTTTCTCACACCATTATGGCACCTCCACTCAATTCTCAAGATGATCGTGCAGCGTTCGTTGACGCTTGTATTAACAAGCGTAAGAAAGCGATGCATGCCTGGGAGTCACTTGGCTTGATCAGTGAGAAGTTACACGATGAGCAACACGGTTACTTCGTCAACAAGGAGAAGGCAGATAAGGCTAACGAACTGCAAAGAGTGGTGGAGGGAATAGCAAAGTCGTTTGCTACGTCGTATCGTGGCACCATTGAAGAGCTCCATGCTTACCTGGCTGAAGAGAATGCCTTCTCGGAAGACGTTCTCCGGCTCGGACAAGAATTCGGAGTAAAGATCTGGGGCCGTATAGAAGACGGCGAAATACGCTCATCAGGCGAATCGCAAGGGAATGGAATCGAGGAGCAAGACTGGGACGACCCAAAAGACCGCCAGAAGTGAGCACTTGATGCGTTATCATCAATGACTCTGTTAACTTGCTCTCAGCATTCTGTTTTACATCC